AAAAAAAAAAAAAAAAAAAAAAAAAAAAAAAAGAGGGACATAAGAAGAGTGATAGGAGGGAATTTCTGTGTTGTCAGAAATGTTATATATCTTGGTGCATGGGGTTTACAGGAATGTATACATTTGTCAGTTTATCAGATTGTACAGTTAAAATCTTTGCTTTTCTCTATGTGAATTTTACCTTGCAAATTTGAATAAAGAAAAAACCTCGTAAAGGACATTGTCAAGATAAGGTCAGATGAAAGCTGTACTGTGGCCTTTGTTCCATCTGTGTGCTTCTGTCTCATTTTCTCTTAGGCTGTGGAAGTCAATCCAACATTTTAAGTCTTTTTCACCTAATGTGGTTTCTTTTTCTGTAGTGCTTTCTTGCTTATAACCTTTATTTTTGTTTTCTTCTCTGTAAAATTTAACGTATCATTTTATTGGAAGTTAGCAGGCTTTCACCCCACAGGGGGGTGTTTTCACAAAGACTAGTAAAAGTTTGTGTGTGTGGACATCTGGCTCTGGCGTTTAGTTTCACATTCCCCCATACTTACACAGTTCTTATTCATCTGTTCACCAATTCTTCATTACCTACAGTGTGCCAGGTGTTGGGCCCCAGATGAAATGGTGTGCTAAACAGACATGCTGTCCTCCTTCATGGAGCTTACAGTCACAATTTCACTTTCTTTTGTGAAACTCAAATTAATATCAAAGTTTAAAAGCCAAAAGGTTAAACTCATTGCATAAGAACTTACAGAATCCATACTCCTTTATGTGAATTATGCATGTGCACCAAGTGCTTCCCTTTGATGCCAATTCCTGCCTTTGTTTGAGGGTAAGCCACCAGAAGCAGAGCAGAATGCGAGTACAGTGGTGTCAAATTGTATGTAGAGGTCAAGGCTTCAAAGTCAGAGTACAAAACAAAAATCAAGTATAAGTACAATTCTTGTATTTAAACATTGGCGTCACGTTTGGTGGGTGAGATGCTCACATGGGGGCATGTGCCTAGGAATTGAGGTTGACTAGGGAAAGAGCTTCACATTTTACATCTCAAGTTCATCAAGAGAAATGACCCGCTAAATCATCTTTGCTGTGTAAAAGGTTATTTCTCTCTCTTTCCTTCTCTTCCCTCTCTCTTGTGTATGTTGGGGTGTAGGAGGGGAGGTGATGGGTGGGAAGAAGCTGCGTATATGGAGTTAAGTTCACATAAGTGAAATATGTACCCAGCATTTGGGAATTGCCACATGCATGGAGATATCAAAAAAGCAAGTTGCAAACTCATCCAAATAGTGAATGTAAATGTGCACTTATTTCTGTAGACAATCAGCATTTAGATTACAGGGTTATGTTTACGACACCCAAATGCAGCAGCTTCTCTGGAGGACTGTTTACAGCATTATTTTTATCTCGGTGATAGTTTAGGAAGCCAAAGTTTAAAGGACTATTGAACAAATGAATTTGGGAATTATAACATTGAGTTCAATTAAAAAGCCTTTTTAGCTGAAACAATTGTTTATAGCACCATATTTAATTCCTATAAAACTGTATTCTAAACTGTCTTCTGAGAGACATTTCAGTGTTACATTAAAAGTTTTTGCCTTTGGTAATTACTGGTTCATTTGCTTTAAAGCATCATGTCATCGTCTTTGGTTTAAGAGAAAGATTACCTTTTGTGCAAGGATAATGGGTTTAAAAGTCTTAGTAAAAAAAACATATTTAACCAGTTTTCACAATTTTGTTGTTTATTTTTTCTCCTCCTCTGCAGTTTCGTGCCTTAGCACCAATGTACTATCGAGGGTCGGCTGCAGCTATAATCGTTTATGATATCACAAAAGAAGTAAGACTGCATATAGTTTTCTTCAGACTATTTTGAAAACTCTCTTTTAGTTGCTTAGATCTCCAGTTGCTGTCCCTTTTGTGTTACAGGAGACATTTTCAACATTAAAGAATTGGGTGAAAGAGCTTCGACAGCATGGCCCACCTAATATTGTAGTTGCCATTGCAGGAAATAAGTGTGATCTTATCGACGTAAGGTAAGTTATTAGAACAAGAGATCGTAATGCCGATTATATGTTCCTTTCCTTAATAAGTAATATCCAATATAAGAATCTTTTTATTTTATCTCTGACATTGAAGAAGTGCTTGTTTTGTGGTTGGAGTCCTGAAGTTTCAAACTAAAATTAAGATTTCGATATAAAAAAAAAAGATTTCAGTCATTTGGAGCTAATTATATTATGTATATAGACAGGTGTGTAATTTACTTAAGCATTGGTCGCATTGCACTTGACATTATCTGAGATCAGTGCAGCCCCCAGGCTCCCATAACAGAATACTTGAATGCAGAAAGCACATTTATTGGCAATTTCTCTAAATCACTTCCACAATTCCCAAAGCAAGGGCTTTTTTTTTTTTTTTTTCAATTTTAAGAAAACCCTGCTATTTCTTGGTCATTCTATTAGATACATTGCTAGTTGTACTGAGTTTTAATTTGTTTTGTTTAACCGTGGATGTGATCTAATGAGGAGGACCACATGTCAGGGCTTATACAGCAGCAATTCAGGACATCCTTTGTCATTAGAAATCTGGTTAATTCCTGAGTAGGTGTGGATAACATTAAGATATTAATGGATAGTATTTCTGATTTGCAATTGTTGCCTTCCAGAGAAGTCATGGAGAGAGATGCTAAGGACTACGCCGACTCCATTCATGCAATTTTTGTAGAGACCAGCGCAAAAAACGCGATAAACATAAATGAACTCTTTATAGAAATTAGTGAGTATCTCTGTGCCTTATGTGTTTCTCTGTGCAGAGCAACTTAAAACAGAATTACCTTCTTGGTCAGAATTCCAACCTTACTAAGAGTAATCTAGTCTGATAGTGTCCTCAGTGAAATGAGATTTGAGAATGTAAGAGTAACAGGCAGCTTTCATATCATATTATAATTGTTGGAGAGCTGCTGCCTAATGACTATAAGCCTTCTAGAAAGAATGTTGCTACTGAATAAATAATACACAGGGCATTGAGTCATGGAAGCTGTTACCTCTCCCTCTTTCTCTATTTAAATGTGTTTCAATTAGTTGCCCAAGGTCATTGAAAATGAACAAAATAAATAAAGGGAAATGAAATACAGGTGTAATTCCACTGTAAGAAAACCCTCAAAAATTAATAGTAGGCAAATGAAAGGTAAGATCTCTTTTTCCCCCCTTTCTTCCTCCCTTTCCAGAAGTGTTAATCTGATGACACTAGATGGGAGAGAGTCTGCTGCATACCTTTGGGATCCTCTACAGATTGTATCTGTGTTTATTCATTTCACTGAAATTCATCAAAATATTGGGAACTGTTCCAGGCTCAGGGGAGACAGTCGTGAAGGAGGTAGATGCAGGCAGCCCTTGTTCTCTTGGAGCACACGTTCTGCTGAGGGAGACAGTGAACACCAAATAAATGGGATCATTTCAGATAACTATCAGTGATATGAAGAAAATAATTCAGGATGAAGTAAAAGTGTCTGCTGGTGATCAAGGAAGGCCTCTCTGAGAAGGTGGTATTGGAGCTGAGGTGTGATGGAGCAGACGCTACAGAGATGTGGGGCTAACTGAACGTTTCAGACTTACTGATTAAAAGAGACAGCTGTCACAGCACGGTGTACTTATCCATCGAGATCCACTGTGTGAGATCTGAGATAACTGAAGCTGGAAGGGCTCTTGGCCATCACTTGTAGGAGAGGGCATGAACTCCAGTGCCGATCAGGGCCAGCAGGGACAGCCGACAAGTGGAACAGTCCTGGGAGAGGCCCTGGGGACCCTGACAGCTAGCAGGTCAGGCCCACCTCCAACAGTTGGGGCCACACTGGAATGTGAGCCCCTGGTTGCCCAATTGCTGGGGCTGTCTTTATGGGTTTTTTTACTGTTTTGTTTTCATTTTGTTTTGTTGTCTTTAGTTTATTCAGAGAAACCGGAAATCTGGATTTTTATGTACCTTGTTCTGTTGTTTAGATTTGACCACTAATTCAAATACTTTCAGAGTACTTTGCAGGCCTAAGGAGCCCACCTGCTGCTATATACAGCCAGTGGACTGGGGGTTGCATGCTCTAGGCCAGCCGCTTCATCTCAGTGATAAAAAGTTGTGATGCTTATTGTTGTCTAAGATGTAAATAGCAGATACCCAAGGTGAATTCTTGAAAGGCAGCATTAGGCCAATTGGGAATTTTTCACAGTTCAAGCTAAAATATGTTAGGTGTGTAGTGTTGTGAGTACATTAACATTAGCGCTGTTTCTTTTAGTGTTCTTAACTACAGTGGTATTAAAAACAGGAAGGTAGTGAACTTTAACAAAAATGAAAATTCATATATAAAAATTTGTACCTACTCATTTTAACTGTGAAAGTAAAAAAATGTATGTTCACTAATATTAGAAAAATTGAGAGAGATGTAGAGTTTGTTGTTCACTGGGTGTTGCAAAACTACATGAGCATGGGCCGGCCCGGTGGCACACTGCTACAGTGCGCTGCTTGGGAAGCGCGGCGGCGCTCCCGCCGAGGGTTCGGATCCCACATACAGACCAGCCACTCGCTGGCTGAGTGAGGTGCGGGAGAAACGCTGAGGGTTGCGATCCCGTTGCCGGTCCCGGTCCGGTGCGGGCGCGACACTGAGGGTTGCGATCCGTTGCCGGTCACGAAAAAAGACAAAAAGACAAAAAAAAAAAAAAATACACGAGCACAATGCCTGGCGTGCTGACGTTTTATTAACGTGCAGTGTGTGTGTGTGTGTGTTTATATATATATATAAACACACACACACACAGAAAAGTGTACATATCGGAAGTACAAAGTTCAGTGAATTTTTACAAACTCAATTTTTATTCTTGTGCTTCACACTCAGATTGAGACATGGCAGTTCCTACACCCTAGGGGTAACCACCATCCTGACTACTAACTCTTCAGATTGGTTTTGCCTGTTTTTGTTTTGTTTTTAAGAAAACATGTTCTATTTACTCTTTTGTGTCTAGTTTCTTTTGTTGTACATTATTTAGATCATATCATTGCATATACCTGTAAATGATGTGTGTATGAGTCAAGATTGGGGGTAGGGGGTGGAGAATATCCAAAATTTAATTATCCATGCTGCTATTGATAGGCATTTGGGTAGCTGTTTCCAATTTAGAGCTATTACAAATAGTACTGCTCTGAACATTCTGGTCACGTCCTTTGGTGAACATCTGTACACATTTTTGTTAGGTATATTTATACCCAGGAGAATGGCTGGGTCATTGGGTATGCACGTTTTCAATATGACTTTACCACCAGGTACTTTTCAAAGTGATGTTTATACCAGTTGACATGCATACCAGTGGTATTTGAGAATTCTGGTAATTCTCCAGCTCTAGTGGATAGGTGGTGATCTGCATTTCCATGACTGTTAATGAAGTTGAGCACCTTTCCAGATACTCATTTACATTTGTATAATATCTTTATATGTTCTTTTGTGAAATGCCTGTTAAGTCTTTTGCCTATTTTCCTATTGGGTTACCTGTCTTGTTAATGTTTTCTGGTTTTTATTTTGGATATGAGTTCCTTGTTGATTCTGTGTATTGGAAATATCTTCTACTCTGTAGCTTGACTTTCATTTTTGAATCATCTCTCTTGATGACCTGAAGTTTTTTGTTTGTTTGTTTGTTTCCTTTTTGTCTTTTTTCGTGCCCGGCAACAGATCGCAACCCTCAGTGTCGCGCCCGGACCGGACCGGGACCAGCTACGGGATCGCAACCCTCGGTGTTGCTCCCGCACCTCGCTCAGCCAGTGAGCGGCCGGTCTGTATGTGGGATCCGAACCCTCGGCGGGAGCGCTACCGCGCTCCCAAGCGGCGCACTGTAGCAGTGCGCCACTGGGCCGACCCTGACCTGAAGTTTTTAATCTTAACATAATCCAATTTATTCTTATTTTTCTTTATGGTTAGCATGAAGGTTTTTGGTTGCTGTTTAAGAAATCATTGCCTATTCTCAGGTTATGAAGATGTTCTTTGCTTTCTTCTAAAAATATTATTCCCCCAAATTATTATGACACATTTCACAGATGCCTCTGTGATACCAGCTGTATTTGTGTATCTGTTTATTGACAAATACATAATGACAAAAAGCTTTAGTGAAGCTTTTTAACAGATTTGTAATTTATTCACAGCAGTATCTGTAGGCATTTGAAAAGTTGTTGTAGAGCATACTGGGTAACACTTTCTCATCCATGTAAAAATGATATAAAATGATGTAAAAATGATGCTGTCTGCTACCTACGTGGATTTGCAGACTGCTCAGAATGGTGGAGGCTCAAGTCTTGGCAACTGAGGACCTGAGAGTTGACAGAGATTCCTGTCTTAGCCTTGGTAATGTCAAAAGATGTCTGTGTCCATTCATTCCATGTTTACAACATACCTCTTGTGCCAGCTACTGTGCTAAATAGAGAATGGAAACACAAAGATGGAGAAACAAGATCTGTTCCCTGGAAGAGCTTAGGGTCTAATGCAAGGGAAATAGTCATGTAAACAAATATGTAATAGTGTGCTGCTTGTGTCCTGATTGATTTTAGTGTCTGAGATGTTGAAGAGAGTTAAGAAGTAGGAGAGTGTCAGGAAAACCTTTGTACAAGAAGCAACCCTTGAATTATCAGTCAGGTAGGTGGACAGGTGATTTAAGGTTTCTCTCAAAATTGACATTATGCTTCGTGGAGCAGTAAAGTGAAATCTGTTCATTCTCATGCATTGTTGGTAGGAGAATAAAGTGGCACAGCCTCTTCAGAGAGCAATTTGGCAGTATCTGTCAAAATTTAAATAGCACGTCCTTCTTGAATGTGTGCTGGGTAGACACTGGGAATACATTGTATTTGTCAGACAGTTACCCAGGAGTAGAATAGCATGACCTAGCTCTCCTCCACCTGTTAATTTATTCTATACATACACTCATAGGTTCACAAAGATGTTTTTTGCACCACTATTAACAACATCAAAATATTGGAAACAATCTGGGCCGGCCCGGTGGCGCACTGGATAGTGCGCCGCTTGGGAAGCGCGGTGGCGCTCCCGTCCGAGGGTTCGGATCCCACATACAGACCGGCTCCCGCTCACTGGCTGAGCGAGGCACGGGAGCAACGCCGAGGCTTGCAATCCCGTTGCCGGTCCCCGGTCCGGTACGGGGGCAACACTGAGGGTTGCGATCCGTTGCCGGACACGGAAAAAAGACAAAAGACAAAAAAAAAAAATATTGGAAACAATCTAATATCCATCAATAACAAGATGGTTACATAAATAATGGTACATCCATACAATGCAATATTTTAGACCTATTAAAGCAGCAGTTCTTTATGTACAATGATGGAACAATTTTTAAGATTTTTTTTTTCTTTTTGGCAGCTGGCCGGTATGGGGATCCAAACCCTTGAGCTTTGTGTTATAACACTGCGCTCTAGCCAACTGAGCCAGTCGGCCAGCCCCGCAAGATATATTAAGTGAAAACAGCAAGGTGGACAACAGTGCATACTGTTTGCTCCCAGTGGGCTTAAGAAAGGGGATGTGATGTAAGCACAGCTGTGAATGTTTATGCCTGCCTGTCTCTGGAACGCTGCACAGTGGTGGCCTCTGCCATGAGAGAGAGGGACAGGCATGTTCTGATTGAATTTTTGTAAATGTTTATGTTTATTCAATTGTTTACTCAAAACAAAATTTTTTTTTTTTGTCTTTTTTTGTGACTGGTAAGGGGATCGCAACCCTTGGCTTGGTGTCATCCGCACTGCACTCAGCCAGTGAGCGCACCGGCCATCCCTATATAGGATCCGAACCCGCGGTGGGAACGCCGCTGTGCTCCCAAGCGCTGCAGTCTCCCGAGTGCGCCACGGGGTCGGCCCAAAACAAAATGTTTTTAACATGTAATTTTTTTAATTAAAAAATTTTTATTCTGTGTGATGTCCTTGTTTGGATCCTGGGACAGAAATAGGACAATAGTGGAAAAACTGGTGACATCTGAAAAAAAAGTCTGGAATTAATAGTGGCAGTGTTGAATTCTTCATGTTGACAAATGTCCCAAGGTGATATAAGATACCACCATTAGGGGAAACCGGGTGAGAGGTATACAGGAACTCTTTATATCATCTTTGCAACTTTTATGTAAATCTAAAATTATTTCAAAGTAAAAAGCTTATTAAACCTCTTTTTTTACTTTAATGAAACCTGTCAAATTGCATCTGCAAAATTGTTGTATCTGAGAATGAACAGATTTAGAAAGTTAAAGGTCATTTCCTTCTCTCCTCTCATCATGGTTTAGGTCGAAGAATTCCATCCACTGATGCCAGCCCGCCATCTGGCGGTAAGGGCTTCAAACTCCGAAGACAGCCTTCAGAGCCAAAGCGAAGCTGCTGTTGACTGAGCCTCAGCCTCTCAGACTTGGTGATGAAGTAGGTGGTCCTGAAAGTTACCAGGAAGGCTGGAGTCCTTGCCACCAGTTTTCGCCTAGCTGGTCTTGAGTCATCTTTGTGCAAAAAGGACTCATAGAAATTGACGAGTTCTGTTCTCTCTTTGAAGACTGCAGCAATGATATTTCTCAGTCTGTGGACTTCTATTATGTAAAGAATCTCTGATGTACAAAGGGCCTACGTCATTGGCTTTTGACCTTGCTGGAAAGGAACGTATAATTGTATGGATGGTAAGATTAACTTGTTGAGTAGTTTTGTAATCAAGATTTTATGTAACATTTGTAAAGGGAAAATTAGCACTTTCGTGGTTCTTGAGGGAAAAAAAGACCTTGTGGAGATTATAATTTCCTTGGTTTCCCATTACCACTGTTAGAAGTAGTTGTATCATTTAAAATGTAGTAAGATATCATAAGTGGAGGCATGGCAATTATTATTTGAAGCTAAAATGGGTTATCTATAGGACTGATGGAAACAATTTCATCTCTGCCATTTCTAAAGCACTTTTCATTGAATATATGAGTCTAGGATACATACTGTAAATTAACAACAATAACAGCAGATGCCTCGCTCACCCTGGATTTGCTTCTGGCTCTGTCATATGAGTATGTCACCAAACACATTATTGGCACCTTTTTTAAATAAGCTATCATGATCAAGATGGTGGTGGTAGAGAAGCTGTCTGGAATAAATTGAATTCCATGTGTTCTAAACTGACTGGCAATGGTTTAAAAAGGAGGAAGAAGAAAGAGAAAGTATAGAAAGTGGTGTAAATGCTGTCAATTTTTTTATTTAATCCAAGTATCTTGGTGGAGAAAAACAAGTATCTGTTGCTTAGCATATGTAAAGTTGTAGTCTATATTTATGAGACTTTTGCTTAAAGATTATAAATTATGTAAATACATTAATAAATTCTAAGTTTCATTCAACAGTCCATCTAATCTTGCACCCAGTCTTGCATATGCCCACTCATTTTTCAGCCTGTCCTCGGGAGACTCTGAAGCACATTTATGTTGTGCATAGGCATAGAGCATTTAGCTTGCAGTCTCTAAAGATTTCTCTGCCTTCCCTTCCACCCACCCCTCTTCCCTCCAAATCCCATCTGGAAATCATAATAAAGACATATGCCGCTTTGACAAGCCTGACTAGTCCTTACTAGCCTTGGGGTGAAAGATTAAGCTCCAAGCTCTAGTCATTTACCTGATCTTGGTAATAAGTTTCTTTTAGCTTTTACAGCGACCTCAGACCAACTGTTTTGAAAGCTTTCCTTGTTAACAATTTAGCTTATCTTTCCGTTTCCTTTATTTTCCCCTGCCTCTGTTAGTGGTTAACACTCTTTTCCCTCAGGGAGCCTAATGAGGTTTTTAATATAATCTAAAAATAAAGCACTGAAGTGAAGTTGGTGAAAATTTGTTCCTGGTCTAATTTGGCACCCTTCCAACTTGAGTATTGTAAGGGAAGGAAATTTACAAGATTAAATAGGAAATGAAACAGCTTGAATTTCAAACTAAATTGTGTTTTCAGAGCTATCCTTAAACTGAATAGTCAAAACTTTTAAAAACAATTGTTATTTCTTTGTGCCCCCCACTTGATATGGTAGATTTTAATGGGAAAATTGTAACTCAGATTAAGTAAAAAATGATCCCGTTTTCCCTGTTGCATATCTTAAGCATTTGAAATTGTTTTATTCTCATTGAAACCATATAGAAAGATTGTAGTTAGCAAAAATTTTAATATTTTGTTTAAAATACATGTGGACTCTATACCCCCTGGAATCTTGCTTCCTACCCAACGTTTAATTTGCAAGCTTCTGTTAAAAACACTTGATTCGCAGGGCTGGGCTCTTTATAACTGCAGGTGGTTTGACTTTATCTTATATGTGTCCAGACGGACCCCCAGCCTGGTGTCCCTAGCATTCCCACTGCTGGGACTCTATCTCCACAACAGCAAAATAACAACAAAGGTTACTTGACTCATTAAGAGGTGATGCTTCTGTGGCCTTTTCTGTCTTATATCACCAAAACATGATGAAAATCTATGACCTTCACATTTTTTCCAACAAACTCACCAGTAGATGTTGGTGATTGCATGGTGTCTCAGTGTACTGGGAAAGGCAAGGTCTTCTGAGCCATCTTACTGGGAAGGCATTTAAATGCCACTAATCTTCCTGTCTTTTTATTGCATGTAGCCCAATACCAGTTCATCTCTTCAGCCCTTTGCATCTAGTTTCTCTTCATGATTTCTCTTACTCCCATCCATGTAGGGAGTGATTCTGTTTTGTTATAGCCATATGTGTTATTAACAGAATGAATGACCTGGAGCTTGTGCTCATGCATTTCTGGAGGCTCTTCTCTTCTCCCCTCATTTTTACCAGTCTGTCTAAGAAATTGACATGGCACTGTTTCTCATGTAATATCTTCTTAATGCTTAACAACAAAAAAAATTGCTATCCCAGATCCACAATCCATACTCAGTGAAAACAGGAAAAAAATGTTTTTAGTTATTTTGTTTGCTCCTAAAATGCAAAAATGAATATTAAAGCCAGAAGCAGTGCTTTATTTTAAACACATTTTGGATTATTGGCCTAACTAAGCAATGATCTAATATACATTTCATATTTTCATTATTTCCTATTATGAGAAAAAGATAGATTTCAAAGGAATTGAGACAGAGCCCATCTATAAAAATCTTCTTTCGGTTCTCTTATGACACAGGACCATTTTTTAAAACTTTTGGGATTGAACAGAAGAGAAAAATCATTAATTAGCTGCAAGTGTTTATTGATTCCCTTCAGAGAAATTGGAATAGCTCTTTGCAGGTGTCCAATCCTAGAAACCTTGGTCTCCAGAACTCTCCTTTCACACAAGTGTTTTTCTGATTCTGTGATAACTAATTAACTATCATTTGGTAATTAAAAGAACATAAAGTAAGAGTATGATTAAGTGTCCTTCATTTTAAACTCTGTGAGAAGTAATTGAAGAGAAGTACCTATTGCAAGCCCTTCTGGTTCCAAATGAAACCTCTATCACCTGCTTGTCAGCCACAGTCAGGATAAGTTCCACACATTAGCAGCTGAAAGACTGAGTTCCTTTTAAAATAACCTCCTTCCTTGTTTCTTGTTTGAAGTGCCTGCCTCCCATTTTACACGCATTTCCTGGATGCCTGCCTATGTCTAAAAGGATCTAGACTTTTATATTAGAATCTTAATCTCCTCCTTTCAGTGGGCCAGTGTCCTTCTTGAGGTTATCAATCCTCTTTATTTTTAAATATCTAAAGAGAAAGAAAACATTTAATTTCAGAACTTCTCTTTGTCTTGTATTTATTTCTTTTCTATTCTCAAGGAGAAAAATAGGTCTAGAATGTCTTCTAAATTAAACTCTGGGAGTAATGAAAACGTCCTTTAGATACCTATTCCGTGGCTTTCCTGGAGGTGTCAGACCAGAATATCTGTATTTTTATGTTATTGTGTTAAAATGGGCAGGTTAGATTCAGATTACACTGCACTAATTGGCATGTCAGCCTCCAAGCTTGAAAGGCATTTGTTCATTGTTATATGCATCTTTTATATCCTAAGAGTGAATTGCAAAAGAAGTTATATATAAATACTTTTTAGCACTCATTCTCAGAACACACAGAGAACGTAATTCATGGGCCCGTAGAGTACAAGATACAGGTAAACAGTATGTTATTTATATAACAGATGAGCCCCCTAAACATCCAGATGTCTCTGCAAGAACCAGTGTAAGTAATGAGAGAATCCTTTTCTTCTGGAGAAAAGTTATTGGAAATCCCTTAACTCTGATCTATACTAGGTACCTGCTTTATTTTTTTTTCTTTATTTTTTTTTTTTTTTTTCCTTTTTCAGACCGGCCGCACCGCACTCGGCCAGAGAGCGCTGTGAGCGCACCGGTCATCCCTATATAGGATCCGAACCCGTGGCGGGAGCGCTGCTGCGCTCCCAGCGCCGCACTCTCCCGAGTGCGCCACGAGCTCGGCCCACTAGGTACCTGCTTTAGAACATTTGGGGGGAAATGACAGCCCACAAACTTGGGCAAAAAGGGACTAGCAGCACAACTTCTGTTTACTGTTTGACTTCAAGAGATATTCTACCTCTTCAGAGATAATATTTTTTAAAGTAAGAAATGGAATGTACCTTTAAGGGTCAAGGTGTTAACTGTATACCTGCCTTTAGTTAGCTTGGTTCATCTAAAAAATATTTAAATGATTTGAAGTAATGTTTAGGATATGTGTTTTAATTCTTATAGTACTATGATAAAAAAAAAAAAGTCCAAGCAACAAATTTATCCAGGAGATAAACATCATACTGTATGGTTTTAGAAAAGAAAAATGGGGGGTGGAAGTTAGCCTAGGACTTAAAACAACCTCTGCAAATTTCTCCTGACAGCAGAGTTGCTTGTTGTGACTTCCAGTAATAGAAATCCAGGCAATTTGATTATCTGATTTGCAAGAAGCATTAATGGAATTCTGGGGCATTTGTCTTGCTTTATGTGCAAATGAAAGTGTAAAAAACATTAGAAGAGTTACATTTTTCAGGAGCCTCCATTTTCTCAACCTAAAGAATGAAAAGTGGGAGACCTGTTGTGATGAAGTTTCATTAGACATAATGAGGATGGTGAAGAAATAGAACCAGGAATCTCCATATTTCTCAGTTTGTCCTTCAGGATTCTCTTAGCATATAGGAAGATGATTTATTTTCCAAATCTAGGACTTCCATCAGTTTAATTTAATGGTCACCATCAGAAATAACTACTATCTGTTTTCTTTCCTTTCAAAGTATAATCACCTACAGATGTGCTAGAATATCTTTGGCTTCAAAACAAGTATTCAGAAGTTTAGTTAAAAAAAAAATCTCAAACCACCCATCTGTTTCTTTTATTATGTTGAGCACTTTAGGTAGTGAGATGAGGATATATCATCAGGAGATGGTGAAATTAAAACCAGGTGTCAAACAGATTTAACAAAAAGTTTTTTAATTTGTTGCAGGTTCATTTTTAGATCTGTATGGTGCCCAGTGCCTCATCAAAATGCTTCATAATTGCAACAAACAAAATTCTGGGTAGCTTTCCATGAACAAGAATTCAGGTGCCAAGTTCTATCTGCTAATTAATGGAAAGTCCTAAGATAGTAATGATTTTTTGAAAGAGCCTTCTTTAATTGACAGTTTTAAACTGTTGACCTTAATGCTGTGCTTAATCATGCAACAGAAACAAAACATGCCAGTTTTACTAATGCCACTTCTTAATTCAGGAACTTTTCAGTGTTTCAGGAAACAAATTGCTTAATGGAGCACTTTGAAGGAAACCATCTTTAAAATAGCATTTTGCACAAGGGCCAGTAATCTTTTTTAAGAACTGAAATTGTCAAGGACACCCTCATAGCATCTAATACCATGTTATATAAGAGCTGGGCATACCTCTTTCCAAGATCAGTTCAGAGCCCACTGGCCACCCAGCCAGAGTGGGGACCTGCCCATGTGGAAAGTCCCTGTGCCCGTGTTCATTTGGGTACATTGTCAGCCCTCTGCCCATAGTGGCGCTTGACTTTGAGGCCTAATCCTAATATCATTTGGCCATTATTAATTTTTCATTAAGTTTACAAGAATAATCTGTTTTACCCCCTGAAAATTTTTGAAAGCAGCACTTGAATTTGCTTACCTCCACTTTCTTTGTGTTTGAAGTTACTACCTAGTTTACAAAACTTTTTCTTAATGTGGATCATGTTCATGATGTCAAAGGGACCAGTCGATTCAGTGCTGGGAAAATGATTGGCAGCCTGCTAGTCACAGCAACTGATTGGTGGCTCCATTTCTAAACCATTTGTTGTGCTTTGTAGACAGAACTTTATTGCCCTGGAAAATATTTTTTTTTTACTCTCATCCAGCTCAGTCTTTCCATCATTTCACATTATGAGTCACTCACATAATCATCAATCATTCCCCTGACCTTAAGAATTTACATCTTACCTTCTCTGTGATCAAAGCCGACTTCTTGCCTTATTTCCCTTGTTCACATTTTTCTTTGGGCTCTCCCTTAGAGAAGCATGGCACTGGCCACTTCCTCAGCTCATGTGACATGCCTTCACATGTGGTCTTCCATGGTCATAGCAGCATGGTTGG